GGGGGGGGGGGGAGGATCGGGCGAGCGAGACCGGAGAGCATAATAAATTCGAGGGAAAAAATTTTGTGTGTGCAGAGCATTAAATTCGATTGAATTTTACGGGCAAACGTGTGCTCATCTAACACGGCTTTATAAGGTAGAGGTCCAAGTCGTCCAAACTCTGGACGTGTGTACACCAGCGGGTGTGTCCTATCCTCGTAAATCCTGCACGCGAATCCCACTTCACTGGAGTTACTTAACGCGGCAGTGTTACCTCGTAAAAATCTTTCTGGGGATGAAAAAAAATGTCTTCGCTGGTATATATTATGCTCTTGAAGAGTCGATGGATGTACTTATTATTTTTACTCTACCTCGAGAACGAGTGGATTCAGGGAGAAAAAAGGGGTTTCTTGGTAAATTTCACTAGATCCCTCAATTTCCAAGATAATCTGCTATATTTCAAGAATAATCTCATGATAAATTCCGGCCTCATCTTCTTCTACCACTCCAAAGCTAGATGAATGCAAAAATGTTTGATAAATCTTTCGTGAAACACTGATTTTTTTCCTCTGAATATGGAATGAAAAACTCTAGATTACAAAAAGAGTATTATCAATTATAGCAATTATATGTGAGTAATTTTTAAAAGGATCTGGGGGAATTCAATTTCAAGGTTGGAAAACGAGAAATGAAACGAGACGGAGGCCAAGAGGCTTGGGTGACTGCCGGAGTCTCGTAATAATTGTGAAAGCAGAGGTAAAAAGTGTCGAAAAATAGAATCACAGAGGGAGAATGAAAGGGGAAATTTTTTTTCTGAAAGGAACAAAAATGAAGATGCCTCTCAGCTGGGACAGAAATTCCGTGATGAACGTTATTTGGAGATAATCCTGTGGAGGCGAAGAGTCATGAAAGGAAACAGTGGAAAAGGGGCAAGTTCAATCAGACGTATTTCATCAGTGCAGTATTCCAACTGAAAAAAATTGATACAAACTATAAATAAAGCGGAAAATAGAAACTACGGGTAACGGTTAAGAAACACAGGAATCAGTCGTAGATATCCTCGACAATAATAAATACAGTACAATAGATCCCTGTCCAGTGGGGTAAAAGCGAAAAGGAAAGGAGGGCGAGGGGGTGCCGAGCATTCGTAATACGTTGTTATCAGTGATTTGCATATAACCCGCTGGCGGGTTATAAACAATGCCTTCGCCCCTCGGCTGCACACACTACATGATCGCCATGCATAATAACAAATTCCGGAGCTAAGCTACGATGTACAATGTGTATAGATCCTGGATACTCAGGTCACCCTCTTTGACTCTTCCCAACTTCCCCTCTAGTCCCTCCCTAATCCAGTCTCCCCCCGATTCACGTTCAATGCCAATGTTTCCGACTAAACTGTTAAGAAAATACTGAAAACTTTAACTACCAGAGTTTCGTCGTAATTCGACGACAGCTGGAGCTGTCAAGTATTGTTCACTATTTTGCTTGGTCCAAAGAAACAATCGGGGAGATTTTTAATTGATGCATCATTAAATTCAAATCAAGAAAAGAAAATACCTTTTCAGTGGAAATTGCATTTTCAATATGAAGGGACAAGAAAGCACAAAGAATCCCCAATTTTCCGGAAGAGTTATTCATAATTCATAAACAGATGCTGTAATTTCCTCAATAATCAACTCTCCGTGTAAACTTCACAAAGCTCCTTACAAAATCCCCCAAATTCTCACGAAACTTTCGCCCTAAAATGCAAGACTCCATGACGAAGTTAATAACGCGAGTGTGACGTATGCGCAAAGTTTAAGAGGCACGACAGAATTTCGTCTCGGAATTTACACGAGTGAATCGGGGCATCGTGAGAGGACTCGCGGCTTTTGGATTATAAAGTGTAACGCTGTTGATGCTTGGTTGAATAGCCCCTGGCTGAGGTAGCTCGAGTTTTGGGGATTTCAAGGGATCCAATGCCAGTGGCCTACCGGGTATCTACTAATTACAAGTTATGCCATGGCTCAACGCTGCAAACTCTGTTACAAGGCGATTCTGCCCACCCTCCCATCCCCCATCTCCTCTCTATACTCGTTTTCTCAGCCCCCTAGTCCGACCTTCTTGTGACATTACTACACGTTTACGTTTAAAGCATACCACGGACGTTTTCTCTGTTTTGTGCCTTCATGGCTAATTGGAGTTGGTTCCATTTCGTTCGTTATTTCTCTCTGGGTCACCGAGGTGCATCAACTTTTGGAAGGTTCTTTGCCTTTTATGAGAAGAGTGGAAGTTAGAAATGAGAAATGAGAAATTTTTGGAGTTATCATCAAAATTCAAAAGCTTTTAATTAGATTTGAGGAAAATGAAGTATTTTAATTAATTCGCCAATTATTATAATTATAAAAAAAGGGAGCAGATTAACACGGAAATTTCACGCTTAAAACTATAAAAAAGAGTTGACATTACCCAATTACGGGGAAACATGAGAAATTCGCCCCGGAAAAGTATTCAGCTAATGGAGTTTAACGATAAATATTTACAAATTCCAATCGGCTCCTTTTGATATTACATTGCTTCCTTTCCCTGAATAGATATTGTTGCAACAAACAAAAAGTGGAATACTTTTGTTATTCTTTGCAACGCCCTCCACACACAGAAAATTATTTATGACCTCTTATATTCTCACATCGCGGCTACTGGCTTTTATTGGTTAGCACGTAGAATTATTCATGAGTCTTACCAAGTTTTTTTTTTAAATTCACGGTGTAGTGTTGGCAGCGGTTAACGACTAATTTTCGCTGTATAATTAATCCCTGTCAGGATAACATCGAAATGTAAATTGGTGTTTGCGATAGTTTGAGAGAAGAATCTGGGGAATTTCGTCTAGGGGTGCAGTGCTTAAATCAATAGGAACGCCGCTGAATACCTGGGAGGGATCAATTTCAATCGGCAAGTGAATGTGCAGAAAACTGTGGCAAAATATTTTTCACGCTTCAGAAAATTCTGCATTATGTAACTCACTTACAGAACATTTTATGACAGACTAAATTGAGTGTCAAAGTTTCAATCAATCCCCAATTTCCCTCAATAGGAGCAATTTATTGACTATCGCCATTGGTAAATCAACTCAATGAATTGGAAATCCTGACGAACTCAAATTAATTTACTCGAGTAACGAGATTTGTTTTCCATGTCCTTGAGGAGTAACATGGATAGTTAAATTTTATTACGTAAATGCAATTAATACTGGGCGATGTGTCATGTAACTCACCCTCCGTTTGCTCCTGATGTTGTCTAATTGGCGCTGGGTCGCCTCACCGATGCTCTGCGAGCCCCACAACTCAAGGCCTACTCGGGCGTATGTAAATGTCATCGAGCCAATTGGTAAGAAATACGTCAGGATCATGAATATCACGTTGTACCTACAAATGACAAACATCATCAACTGAAAATGGTGTACGCCATAGCCATTCTTTCTTCAGCAAAATATAATTCCCTATAACAATAAAATAATATAACATTTCATCAACATTCGCATTACGAATCTGTTGTTATGAAATGTTATGAATAAATCAGCATTCCCCTCCCCCCGGAATACCAATCGAGTGATGAATTAATGATTTACTGACGATGCACAAGTCGTTAATCTTTTGGTCTGACAAATGAATATACGCATAACAACGTACAACTATGATTGAGCTCATATTCAATTAAAATAAAGGCTGATGAATGATCAGCTGAATAATCATTGACTGATGGCCCTTGTGATTACGATCGGCAGACATCAATGGAGCATTAACTGAGTTAATTAGCTCATTAGCCAGCCTCCAATCCCTCCATTGGCACTATCACCACCCGCTTACCTATGGGTGTAACAACAAATTAGCTCGAGTGAAAAATGAGGACGGATGTGGTTGGGGAGACTGTGAGACTGGAGAGGAATGAGCCGTTGGGCTGCCAGTACTATGCCATATGAAATTAATTACTCGTAGACGGTTATAAATTCTGGTTAATTGAGCCCACGGGTATCGCTATTCACATTACGTAATTTTACCCGGTATTACTGCAAAATGTTGATTTAATCCATTATGATTAAAAGAATTATCTTCCTCCACTGTGGCTGTTTGATGATCATTTTCCGTTGATTAAAATTGGGAAATTAACTGAGTACAATCTCACGTTTTTGCATTATCCCCTTATTCTCATTCTCAACAGATCTTTCTCTCTGTTCGAGGAATCCGCTGTTGTCCTTTGGTTTACCCAACGCTGCAATTGAAAATTCCACAGTGCCAGTCACCGGATTGGCCCCTTGAGAGTGAAAAGACAGCGAAAGGGACAATGGAGAGATGCATATTGACTGAGTGATTTGATTTCAATTTGCCTCTTTGAGATCAAGAGAAACGCAGTCCACAGACCTCAGGGGTCGAAACTAATGCTGCAGTGGAATAGGAGGAAGGGCGATCAGACCGCTAATGGCATACGCGCTGTGTAACGGTTCTTGTGAGCAAGTTCCTCTAACTTTAGCTGATTCAAATCAAGTGGGTGGTGGCGGTAAGGGGGCGGGGGAGAAGGGGGATTGGATCTACGTGTACGATAGATAACCTCAAGGACTCTTCAGTGCCTCGACCAAACCACACCACCTAGTGGCTATCCGCACGAATGTACACCCGTTTTATTTGCTAAATCACTTTACTATCGGCATTAATAATAATCAATTTGCTATGTGACAATAATCATAATAATAATGGATGATTCCTGTTTCCTATACGATACTGCATATTGAGGTGGTTGTCAAGCTGCACGTATTGTCTTTTAGCTGATGATAAATGATGAAAGCGATACTTCACTTGAGATTTCTTTTTCTGTTTGTCGCAAGTACAACGGATTCCCATCCGGTTTTTTAGGGTGAGTGGGAAAAAGGTATTCGTGGCGTCGGCTCCATTCATCGCAACGAGGTTGAGAGCCGACCACTCGAGGGACGCGTACTCTTTACCTCTAGCCCCTCTTTCTCTCCAATTTCTCTCTTCCCAATCCGCCCCAAGATTGATTATTTGCGAAATAGTGGTGGAAAAAATGGGAAATTTCTGTCATTTTTGCGCTTGTCAAGATACGCAGAAACTCGGTAAAGCAATATTTTGGTAATACTGTGGAAATGCAAGCAAAGTCCGCTGTAATATTCAACTCCTTCCTCCGAACCGTTGATAAATATGTACATATTTGCCCGCCCCTAAATTCCAAACTTTCATACAAACATGTACACAAACGGTGAAATTGGAATGGCAGAAAAAAAAAGGAAATTCTATCCGCACGTGAAAATTGAAGGAATGCCAGAGTAACGGAGATAATAAAAAATGTACTTACACGTATTCATCGTAGCTGAGTCCATCATCAGTTCTGTTGGGCCACTCTCCGTAGCAGATAACCCTCACTTCACCGTTGGAAAATGTTTGCGTGTAAGTTGTGTAGTATATGAGCATGGGGAGCGAGAGAATACAGCCAATAATCCAAATTGCTACAGCAACGAAGAGCGTCAGACGGCGTCCCATTCGTGGCCTCAGTGGATTCATTATTGCCATGTATCTGTCAAAAAATCTCATCCAGTAATGAACTATGATAATTGCGAAATTACATCAAGTTCATTCCCCCCATACCTATGAATTGAGAAAAAAATTTAATAATCGCGAATTGCCTCTAGTTCTAAAGCGGGCCGAGGCATTATCCGCCGAGACATTGTATGCAAAGTGGCACGATAGCCTCGTGCTTCTCACGTGTTTGCCTTTTTTTTCAAGCGCGTTTTTCTTTATGACTGACTCAGACATACGATTCTCGTAAAATTCCCGGCGCATTACTCTCTCATTTCTGTAACAAAAGCTTAAAAGCACGCCTGACCTCGACGACGGCATTTCTCCCACGTTCCTGTTCCCCGCCGGTTCTTTTTTATATTCCCGGGTACATAACGCGGTTAGATAAACGGGGATGAAAATTGAGCTGCAAGAGTTTCCACTTTGAAACGTGCTCAATACCGATTTCACTAATTCTACAGGACTCGAGTATTTAGAGGATACGAGTCGTCAATTTTTTTGAAACAGGGGAATCATTTTCATATATTTTTCTCATAATATTCCTCTGGCTGAACGAATGAATCAAAAAATTTTGCATAAATGCAATTTTTTTTTCGGTTTACTTATGATTATTCAAACAGAGTTCACCTTCGAAAGAATTTGAATAATCCTGTGGAAGGGGGCGTGGGAGGAATAAATGAAATGTTTCCAATGCACACATGCCGAATGAATTTTTCAACGAATTGGATAAAACCATCGAGTGACACTGGACCACCGTGCTGCATTCGATTAAACTCACATTCCGCCAATTAATACGCAGTTTATCGGTTTCTCTACGCTTATAGCCCTCAATCCACTAATCAAACGGCATTCATTCCATTTGCAAGTTAATCCGATTCTTCATTTCCAGCTTTATTCGAATTGCTCAATTTTTTGGCTATGCAGACTATTTTATATTTTTTTGACTGAAATTAAAAAAAAAACAATTGATCGTCAGGCGTTTTTTCATTTCTGACGAATAGAAAATACCGATCACGAAATACTTCTATAGTTGAAACTACGATAACACCACTTGGTGCAAAATAAAAAAGGCGCTTTGAAAAGCCCCCAATCAAAGTGAGATTTTGAGTGCAATAGCAATGAAACGGCCTTCCGAGTCATTTTTTTTCTCCATCGGTAGTATTTCAATTTTAGAACGAAGAGGGTTAGACTTTATCGAACGCTTTTCATCAGTATCGCCATTGAATTCCCGCCGAATGAACAGATCGAGGGTCACGATTTGTAGTGATGACGGGAGGCCTTTTCATTTCAAGTTACATCTCTACTTGAGAATTGTGTACATATACATTTAGCCCATAGGCGTTCTCCACACTTTGCGACCCCTCGATTTTCAACAATTCACTCGCGCTCTACTGTAAAAAGAAGGAGAAGGGTCCCGACGTGATCCAACCCGGATTTTTTCTTCATTCAGGCAGAGAAAGGGATAATCCTTAAATCTAACCCGAAATTTATTTCTTATTATGCGTAGGCGCCTGTAGTTAATTAAACCTATTTATCTCAATAAAGTGTTTGCCGTTATTCCACAACATTAATGGCAGTGATTAAGGAAATAATAACGTTTCAATTTAATAGTCGCATAAGGAGAGCCAAAGAGGAATAAATTCGGAAGAATTCATCGATGCGCTCTTCTAGTTACAAAATATTTGCGAAATGAATCTCCAAACTAGAAAAACAAAATAAACAATCAAGCTCTGAACCTCTTCAACTCCAAATTTATTTTTATTAAAGTTTCCAATTTTTTTAAAGCAAAGAAAAAAATGAAAAATTGTACAAAAATTGTGATAACATCCCAGTGAATAACAGAAAAAATGTCAAAAACACATAATAAATTCGGAAGCACATTGCCAATTTGTTAGCAATAATATCTATCTTCGTCCACAAAAAATGCAATTACCCACTTGTCTTCTGTTTAAAAAAAAGTTGCTCGAAGTGTTTGCACATTTTAAAATTTCACATGTTCCTAAAGTAGAGACGTACTCGGCTCGACCCTTGGGATTACTCATTCCTCCTTTTTTTCGCCAAGAGAAAGTCGCAGGAATCCTCGTAAAACATCCACGAACGTCAGCTTTAATGTTTCAGCCAGTAAGTGCCTGGGCACTCTGATGCCCTCCACCAAGCTGCACGGAGGACGGAGAAAGAGCGTTAAGAGACGGACAAAAGCCTCCCAAGGAAATGCGTTCTGTCACGACTCCCTCTGACGAAGTTGTTCCGCGATTTCACGCGCACGAAAATTCAATGACAATTGATATAAATATTTGAGTTGGTCTAGTACTGCTGGAACGTGCGAACCCACGGGACTGTTTACACCAGGCTGAAGTAATGTGAGATGACTCGAGAAAATTCCGATTTTTTTCTAACCCACTCGACTCTGGAAATTTATGGCGGCGCATCATTCCTGAGAAATACTCTTTTCACCCGGTCGTTTCTATCCAGATGATAAATTCGCCGTCTTAACACCGGGCAAATGCAAATTGCAATCTTTATGAATAAATCTATCAGCGATTGTTGAAGCCGTTGATGCGGAGTGTTCCTTTCATGACGGTGACTGAATTTCCATGATAAATCTTGCTAATCTCATAGTTTTGTTGAATTTCATTTGAATTAAGAGATTTAAATTGAATTGAATTTTCCATCAATGAATATGTAAATATTGAAACTACCAACACGTTACAGTGAAGAATGTGAAAATATTGGAACAGACGCATTTGCTGATTTTTACAATCTTGGTGAAAAAATATTACACCGTAAAGTAGAAACCATCCGAGCATTTGCTGCGATAAGGAGCCTCGAGGGACGACTAGAAAAGAGTTTATCTTAAAAACACGAATGACCGTGGCACTGAGAATCCCTCCATCTGGTGAGCTCCTGCTATTTTCACTGGAGAACGTGGAATCCAATCCCTTTCGTCATATCCACATTTTTATGGTTGAAAGCGAGGGAATCTCATCAGCTCGTAAAATGCATCGAGAGGGTTTGCTTATAACTTCAGTCTCAAGTTCTTATACGGTTTTCATATGCAGTCATCTCCTTAAAATTGAAGTTTATAGACTCAATCGAGATGAACAAACCACTTCGTTGTCTCTTCCCATTCTCTTTCAACTAGTGTAACAGAACAAAAAAAATCCTGCAGCGCCGATGATTGAATCAATTTATTTCCAATTTCCCTAGGGTGATCCATGTATCATTTCCCCTCTACCAATTAATGCAAAATATTTTTTTCCCCGTTCACCCCGGAGATGCAGGTGAGAGAGAGGGCAAAAAACTCTAATACGTGCATCAGAGGCCTCGCAGAAGCGAAGAGGTTGCCCTCGATTTATGGCCTTGCGGTGGTTCGAGGTGAGGGTGAGTTAGAAAAACGTGATTTGTGTGACGCCTGAAAGCATCTTCTCGGACCACTCTCCCACCACCACTTCCTATCCCCCTTGCTATCTGTATGATACATACAAGTTTGCACAATGCCAGTCCTGTGTGGAATTTACACAATATGCAATGTAATATTTACTGATAACCCTATTTTTCACTCGAGTTTTCGTCCCCAACACTTTTTCAAAACTGAAAACATTATTTTCGTTTCACGCTGAATTTTCCATTGTGTGTAGAAGACATTGTGTTGAGAAGGCAGATTGTAGCGATTTTTCTGGGGGTATGAGAGGATAGACAGAATCCTCCCTGAATTTGGATATTTTTCTCGTTTCCATAAATTGCACTCGGCAGAATTGTCATGAAGCATTGTGATGGAATGCGTGGGTGTATGAAGCCAAGTAATGACTGGAACTGCTGGCGTTCACGTGCCATCCGAATGTAATCCTGCACATCAGCCACCAAGCGGACGGGAGTTCATCATTAAAGTGCTGCGATAGATTAAAACTGGCATTGTATGGATCACGTAATGCTCTACAAATTATTAACATTAATGTAGAGGATGATGAAATACGATATTTTTATGCAAAGAGATTATAACGTCCCCGTGGATGTCTCCGTCTGTTTTATCTTCGTGAAAGGGATCAACTCGACAGAAACGTCCCATGTATTCATTCATCTCTTCACGTTGTCATCAGGAATAAGTCAAAAGCATTTATTTCCACACTTGAAGTTTAACTTTGTACGATTTTATTTAAAAAACATGTAAATACCTGGAGTACTGGAGGAATGCAAAATCCTCACGGGACTAATGAGCCTACAACGCATTATACGTCTGTCTGATGTATTATGCATGAAGTACGAAACAATTTGTGAAAACACATGAGCCAACAATGGAAATTCTTTCAATGGTACGTGCACAGTCTCCTACATGAAATTGTCACCAACTCTCGTATATCTCACGATTTTCCGGTTCAACTTCGCGCTCATCCATTCGTTCATTAAAGTTATAAATTCCACAGTATAATGAAATAACGAAATATTATTAACATATTGTTCTCAACATTTTGAATGAATAATTTATCAACAAGAGTGTTGTATTCAATTTATATGATGTTTTATTCATTTATTCTTTTCTTCTCACTTGAAATTGAAAAACTGACGCTAATGGAAATCGAGAAGGATGAGGAAATTTCCAGGCGGAAATTGTGCATGTCTTTACTTTATGACTGCCATTTATATACGAGAAGACTGACATTTTGAATAACGTCTGGCTCGCCACTGTGTATCTCTGCCCTAGCATTTTATTGCTGCAGGTTATAAAACTGGCCCGGTGTCTCCTACAACGCACCAGTTATATGCCATATAAAAAGATGAAAAATTGATGGATCCGACTATCATATTCCATGCATCAAAGTCGCACTCCTACTCTCCCGGAAAAACCCTTCCAATCCTCGCTTGATATTAACACAATCAGAATACTCAGAACTGTGCACAGAAAACTTCAACTCCACAAATTCAAGTGGAACTCACCTATTTCAATTTGAAACAAAGTTCTTATCGTTACAAAACTTTGCACTCAAGACCAACAATCTGTCA